TGAAGGTCTTGTTTCAGACTTTTGCATATCATTTTCCAGTTCTGCCTGCACCATCTGTTGAAGAGGCTATCCTCTCCCCATGAGACATAGTTTGGTGTTTTATTGAAGATCAATTGGCTGTACATAGATGCTTTAATTCACGATGAATTGTTTTAGCTATTTAGTCAAGACGTATTTAATAGGTGACTCAGAGGGGATGGGGAGCCCTGGTGTGGTGCTGTGGGTTAATGCACCAGACTGCAAAGCTGTTAGAACTGTAAGGTCATCAGTTCAAGTTCACCAGCTGCTCCTCGGAAACCCTATATAGGGTCACTATGGGTTGGAGCTGACTCGACAGCACTTCACAACAACAAAGAGGGCATGGAGACAGGCCTAAGCATTTACATATTAAAACATAGTTTTAAATGAATTTTTATTTAATTGAAATGAACCTTGTGTTGCCTTAAGAAATTATATGGTTAAGTCTGCTGCAAAAGACTTCTTCAAAGTGTCAAAAAGCAAAGATGTCACTTATATACATACAAAAACTGGATAATGAATAAGGAAGACCCAAGAAGAATTGATGCATCTGAATTATGATGTTGGAGAAGAGTATTGAATATACAGTGGATTATCAGAAGAATGAACAAATCTGCCTTGGAAGAAGTACAGTCATATGTTCCTTAGACGTAAGGATGGCAAAACTTCGTCTAACCTACTTTGGATATGATACCAGGAAGGACCAATGCCTGGAGAAAGATAACATGTTTGGTAAATAAACAGACCCTGTACATAGATCGAGATGCAGTTGTTTAAATAGAACAAGGGAATATTGAAAGGTTTAAAATCAGGAAAGGGTTGTATCCTTTCACCATACTTATTCTATCGGTATGCTGAACAAATAACCCAAAGAGCTGCATTGCATGAACAAGAATGCAGCATCAGGAGTGGAGGGTCAGTAACAACCTATAGTATGCAGTCCTGTTTGCTAAAAGTGAAGAGGACTTGAAGCACTTACTGATGAAGTTAAAGACTAGAGTCTTCAGCATGATCATCAAAAAGAACATATCAAGATCTATTCTGAAGTACAACACTGTGATAAGTTAATATCCATATGCCTACAAGGAAGAACATTTAATACAATTATTCAAATATATGCATCAACCATTAAAGCCAGTAATGATGAAATTGAAGAATTTTATCACCTTCAATCTAAAATTGATCAAACATGTAATCAAGATGTATTGATAAATACTAGTGATTGGAATGTGAAGGTTATAAACAATGAGAAAGGATCAGTCATTGGAAAATGTGATAGAAATGATGCTTGAGATCACATAAAATTTTGCAAGACCAATGACCTCTTCATTGCAAATACCTTTTTTAAAAAACATAGAAGACAACTATACACATGAACCTCACCAGAAGGAATGTGCAGAAATCAAGTTGACTATACCTGTGGAAAGAGACGGTGGAAAAGCTTCATATCATCAGCCAAAATGAGGCCAATAACAGACCATCAACTGCTTATATGCAAGTTCAGGCTGAAGCTGAAAAAATCAAAACAAGTCCATGAGAGCCAAAATATGACTTTGAATAGATCCCACCTGAATTTACAGATGATCTCAAGAACATATATATATTTTAAAGTTTTTATTGTGAATTATGTGATAGTTTACATGGGAGAACATTAGCTTTACATCCATCCTGTTGTATATCATTTCATTGCAATGATTACAATTCCTTGCATGCATCATCAAACAGCCAAAGGGTACACCCCGGAAGGCTGCCCCCTGACTGTCAACACACAGCCCCTTTCTCTCCCAGAGTCCAGAGTCCTCAGCTGCTCCATCATTCCACGTCATCATCTATACCTCCATCTCTGCCGTCACTGCTTCTCTGGATAGGGTCCCGCACTCCACTCTTCTCCCTTGACAGTCTCAGGATCCTCCACTCTTGGACTGAAAGATCAGCCATGCTCCTCCTTTTGTTACAAGATGTCTACTCAAGAACAGATTTGATTAATTAGACATTAATGACCAAAGACCAGAAGAGTTGTGAGATA